TCGACAATAAATTAGTTCTTATTACACGATTAACGTTCGCAAAAGTCTCAATTGCGAATTCTGATTGTAATTAATTAACCTTCATAAGTAGATGCAAGCTTATCTGCAACCTACTTGAGGTTGAGCTTTGTAGCGAGAGGGAAATCAGAAATCATCAAAAGAACGAGAGAAGATGAGCTTTTCATTGCAGCTTGTGTCGCAGAGAGTGCATTGATCTTGTCGCTGCAGACGAATGGCATTAACATTGATGTGGTTGTTGCTGTTGATCTGTTGCTGTGTCTCGCTTCGAGGATGAAGGGGATGACGATGCTAGCTGTGCTTGTTTCACATGGAATTTTCCCCCATGCGATAAGAACGATCAAGGGAATGGGTACCCTGGTCAGTAAATATACACAGTTTTAGTTGAGGTAGGTTATAACGATGGATTACTTTACAAACTGTGATTATCAATGCCAAGGTGTGTAAGCCAAGTGGGCCCCACAATGCCATATACTCGTAGTGTGCCCCCAGATCCCCCTTAATTGGGGAGTATATTAAATTGGCCAAGCAGTTTGTTAGAAGTAGTTAACAGATCTAAAGGTGCGTTTTCATATTTATATTTATATCCATATTTATCCTCAACATAACACTCGTAAATATATAGTAAATATGTGTTTGGGAGATTTTTGCATATAAAACAGTGTTTTCCGGCGAGTATCTTATACAAGCGTTCGAAAGAAAAATCACACCTTATCCGGATATAGGATGTAATATATTTATGTACGGGTACCTCCTTCTGTTATCAAAGTCAGCAAGGTATTTTATCAACCACAATTTGTTAATGGCACAGTTTCCCGCCTCCCGCCGCCCCCCGGTTTCTTGGCTATGACATTGAACCTCCCACGAAATCGAAATCGAGGCCCCCTCTCTAGCCAGACTCACCCGCCTCTCAGCAGCTGCACGCCTTTGAGGAGCATTCTGCTACTTCGTTGTGGCTGCGGGTCGGATCTAATGTCGTTGTCAGTGTCGTAGTAGATGTGGTTCGTCCGGCCCTCGAACTGCTTTCACTTAGCGACTTGGCGCGCACTTGCAATTTTATGGTTGCTTTAATTGATTTATTTCGTTCCGTTTGCCACTGCGTTTTTTGCCGACTCTTAATGTGATGAAATTGCAACTTAATTTGAATTTACTTATTTATAAACTTTCTTGCGGCGGCCGCACGAAATGCACTTTTAACAAATTGATTAAGGGGCTCGCAAAGCGTGCAACGTGGAGCGTGGCGTGTCGTTGGCGTGGCAATCTCTGGGGAACTTGTTGCGCTTCAGCTTCTGCTGTCTGTGCGGGGCACTTGTTTCTGCTTTGCCACAACAATCCAAACTGCGGCACTCTGCGCCGGCCGCTGCGTTCAAGTAACATACATGAACATTCTGTTTTCGTTTCGATTTGTGTCTTTTCTGTGCTCTTGTGCTTCGCTCCGATCCGATCCGAATCGGTTCAGAAACATATGGGGACGTATGTTTTGCCTTTGCCCTGATAAGATAAGGCCAGGCCCGGCCCGAGTCTGCTGCAGCTGACGCTTGGTACGTGCCGCCCACTGCATGCGCCCGCTCGGCGGTGGCACAGCTCGGAAACCACCAGAAACGACGGGACGCTATGCTGGCCACGCCCCCTTCGGGCATACCTGTCTGGCAGGTCTGCAAAGGTCTTTCGCAATGCCTGCACAACCGCAGACGGTCGGTCCCTCAGCCGCTCTTATCGATGGAGCTGCTGTTACGCCATCGCGGATCAGCCTCTAATCAGATTTATGTTTGCAGATTCTGCTGCTGCTGCTCTTCTCTCATTTGTCTTCCCATAATAGTATGGGATATTCCCTTATCAACCGATCGATAGCAGCACTTCTTATACAGCAGGTATTTTACCATATTTATAGGCCAATGCCGTTTACGATGCTTCTGTCCAATAAAGACGCTTACCGATCCACCAAGGTCAACCGGGGGTGCCAATCCCTCCTTGGGTTCACTTTTCCCACAATCACTTCGGTTTGCTGATATAATTGGGGATACAAATACTCAAGTGATTATTAATAATGAACCATGAACCATATTTTCTTTATTAATAAGTGAGATATTCAATATGCCGCTAGTTTTACCAATGAAACATGTGGATATTTCTATTGATTTTTCGTAGAAACTAAAGTTCTCTTTTCAATTGTCAGCCGTGATAATAATAACAATGCTATTCCCTGCCGGACACGGCCCGATGTCGATCGTATAATCACTTGTATAATCATATGTATTGCATGTTATTTTGGAGGCAAAACCAAACAAAACTTTCCCCGCTGTGATAAGCCTAATCGGTAATTTTTGGCTCCCGATCCAAGGTGCCTTGACCAGGGGCCGGCACACCAAATACAAATCTCGAGGCATTGTCGTCGTCAATCGGAATCCAATCAAATCCGCGGATGAAACGTGCCATCTATGGAACCATTGTTCAGTGGTACAGTGGTACAGTGGGTCCAGTATAGGGCAGATTACGCATGGACTCTAGAAAGGAACGTCAGACGTCCCCAGACGGGATTAAGAAAAACACTCGAGTTTCGTTTTGCTCTTCTTCAACTTAACGCACTAATCTTGAAATATCTTTATTAATCATAATCATAATCATTTCCTGCATACGGTATAATAATGGTTTATATAAGTATTCATCTCTTTGCAGTGTGTTTTAATACAATCAAATTTACACGAGTCCGTTGCGCACTTCTACTACAACAATAATTGATATACAATAATTATACGTAGGTATAGTAGAGCTATGTATATAGGTTATATGTACTGTATATACTATATGTATATACCTATAGGTATTGTATATATAGTGGCGTAAACAAGTCAACTATACATTTAGGCTTGTTATTATGTGGTATGTGGTAATTGATTGATATTTGGTTTCGGTTTCTATTGCGATTGCGATTGGGATTGCGATGGCGAGGATTTCAGGATAAGTGTTTCTTGGATAGATGGAGGTGAGGAGAATGGTATTTTCTATCTTGTATCTGTTAATGAGCAGCTTCTGATCTCTCTTTTAGCGCCACCAATCGGTATGGCCCATCTTGACTATTTATATGAAGGTGTACAAAATTGATGGCTTCAAAAGTTGAATGGTAGTGGATAAAATTCCTGCTAGGCTATGGGCTGTGATACTCGTATCTCTCACACCGCGACGAGGCCATATTATAAGTATATTTCTATAATTGTCTTATTGTCTTCAACATCTTCAATCTTATTCTGTTCTGTTCTGTCATTTTGCATTTGACTTTGAGTACTTTCCATGTTCCAAGTGTTTTGATTCTACATATTTTCATATATCATTAATCTCTGTGTTCAGTTTTTACGTTGCCTTTACCCCTACCTTAACGAAATAAGAGAAAGTTACGAAGAGGTGGGGGTGTGGTGCACAGTTCTGCATAAGGATTGCACGAAGACCATTTGGCGGAAACCGAATTGGGAATGGTAAGGGGAACGGGTCCGAGTCAGATAGTTCTCGGAGTGAACGGAAGTGAGTGGATGGTGTGGTGTGGTGTCGAGTGCCGCTTAAGAACTAGTTAAATATTAGCTTTATGGTTTCCCTTCTTCAGTAGAGCTTTACCACCACTAAATCTATTCACAGCAGTTTATTTTTCTCGTTTTGTTTTGTTCTGTTGGTATATGGTAAAATACACTTGGGTGGCTCAATCAGAAGAGCGGGGAGTGGTGGGGTGGGGTGGGGCGGACAATAGAGATAAAGATGGGGTTGAGAGAACAGATATGGTGTGGCTGCATGGGGGCGGGGAGGAGGGGATCGAAGAGTCTTAAAACCTAAGTGAAATCGATAAGGTTTCTCGCTTAGACTAAGTTCTGAGGATATTATTTAGAATATCACACATTCCATGTATCTTTGTGTTCAATAAGTATTTACTTGTATCTCGCTCAACGCAACTAGAGCTTAAAATGTCTATAGAGTGTAACTTGTTTGTTTGAATTAACATTAAACTGTGTAACTCTGTTTCTAGATCTCGTTAGATTTAATAGATTGGGGTCTTGGCATGCACTCCCAAGTGTTGTATGTAAGAAGTCCAAATAATAACAGACAGTAGATCTATACTAAACTAAATATCGAGTTAAACTCTTTGGAAATGCGCTTCCTAAGTCGACTACAAAGCGTTTGCTATTGAAGAGTGGTTGGGGTGGGGTGGGGTGGGGAGGGCTATGGATGGGAAACCAGAAATACTTTCAGTTTGTGTGTTAGAGTGTCTAATGGTAAAGCTTAAAGCATTCCAACTAAATGCTACGCTACATAATCATCCAATCGAAACTTTTAGCAACCCCTTTTATTTAATAGTTTTCCTTTTCTTTTCTTTCTTCTTTAATTTTGTCCTGTCCTTCTTGCTTTCCTTCTTCCACAGCACAGCAGCTCATTGTACTCGCTATTTGCGAGTTAGTTAGTTTGCTTGGTTTAGGTTTAGTTTTAGTTTAGTTTGAGTTCAGTTTGTGTTAAAAATACGGTTTAACAATTTTAGTTACGCACTCGAACTAGAATTCAATTAATTCAAACTCTTCAATTTATTCTTTCTGTTTCTTAGTTTAGCTTTAAATTATGTTAAAATACTTAGAGTAAATATTTATAAATGTTTGCGCTCATCTCGGCACGGCTCCACTCCAGCTCCCTGCCTCTCTCTCTCTCTCTCTCTCTCTCTTCCGTACTCTCAGTTTAATTAATATTTCACTTGCCATTGCGTTCGCTCTGTTTCTGTTCCTGTCTCTGCGGGGGTTCCACTTCATTTCATTTCACACCTGGACCCGTCCTATATGTGTTCGATGTAGACCTGAACACCTGAACAGCTGTCTACACATCGTACGCATCCTTTTTGTAGTTCTGCTGCTTTCTGCTTGTTGGCACATTTAACACGTTCGATGTTGTTGTTGGACGCATCATCATCATCCGCATGGTCATGGGCTTGTCCTCCTCGTCGTCGTCGGAAAAGTCGCTCTGGGTCTTGACGTGGCCACCCAGGGCGGGTCCGCTGAAATCGTTCTCATCGTCCTCCTGATTGGATTGGAGAGCAGAAAACGGATTAGAAGGGACCGCAATGAGCAAACAAAAAAAAGAACAAAAGGTCCTCTAGGAAATGAAATCAAGAATATCGTACAAATTATAATACATAAATCATATGAGACCACGACACCACGCGGCGTATACTTGATATTCTACAAGCAAAAGCTCCCCACCCATCCAACAGATGGCGCTCTGTTTAAACTTCTTAAAAGCACAACAAGTAAAATGTACAATATTTACATGTAGAATGTAAAATGTACATAATATAATCATATCTATCACATTCATAGAATTAATTAGAGGGGTACATGGGTACATGGGTACTTGGGTACTAGTGTACCAGGTACAACAAAAACATCTAAAACAATGAACCAACAAACGAACAAACTAAATGGAAAATTATGACAGTTTTCGTATCGTATTTGTGGTCTGGACTGTTTACTTTACCTGTAAATTTGCCTCGCTGGACCGCCAATTAAAGTACTGTACTGCCTTCTGTGTGGACTGGACTGACTGCCTGTATCTGACCATTTCATTTATATATACACTCATTGCCCTACTTATATCTGCTGAGCCCTCTCAGGCCCCTACCTGCTCAAGCGATTTAGCTAGTCTTTTCCCTAAACATAACGTTTGTAAATAATTGTCCTGGCCTGGCCCTTATCGCTGGCTTAATATTGAATTTAATTTAAATATATTTCTATGTCAGTTTTAAAAAGCATTGATTTGCATTTGCTGATTTGTTGATTTGTTGATTTGATTGCTAGCTACGAGAAATTTCTGTGCGTTGGTTAGTTCTTAGTGGTTTTGAGATTGGATTGAGTAGTTGAGGGAGTATCTGAGGAATGAGCATTCTCTGTTTGGTTTGGCTACTACGCAGTTTTTGGGCACACGGCGCGTGGAATTTAGCACTGTCCTTAGTTCGGTGATCAGTGATCGGTGATCGGTGTCTTTTGGTGTCTTTTGGTGTGGGGCCATGCGAATGAGCATTAGAGCTAACTACTTTTCGTGTTATCTTAGGGATTAACTGGGTTCTGTTTTATGTTTTCTGTTTGGTTTTCTAAGTAATTTCTGGAGGATCTTTAAAACTTGGCGCAGCACTTAATTAACAACGTTTCCAGGGTTTCGTTTCGGTTCGTTCTAATTCTAAACATTGACCAATGAGAGTGGACACAGGAGCATAGGGGGAAGAAGAGCAGAGAATTGTGTGATTAGCGTTAGTGTCTATAGAGAGAGGTGCATGTGGCGGGAGTGGGGAGTGTGGGATCCGGGGATTGGGGGATTGGGGGATGGCTGACCAGGACAAGACACAACTTACTTCGAAGTCTCCAATTGTGAAGCGTGTCGCCGCTAATGAATCTTGCGGTGGCATATCCGGACTCATATTCTGTACGACAATGAGCGTGATTTGTATTTGGTTTTTGGTTTTGTTTGAAGCATTTTCAGATAGGAAAATCAAGCGCAAGTGTGAGGAATGTTTTTTAGGTGAGAGAAAGACACAATTAGTTACACTTATTGTCCAGAGAGAGCTGGGCATTATCTTAGCCAGATGTAGGTTCAATTTGAACGCTCAAACAACACACCAAATGGTAGTATAAAGAAAGCTGGATCGCGAATGCGAATAGATTATGGGGGGACTTACATCGTCGTCGTTGTCAATCATCTCCTTGGTAGAGGCGGTTGTCTCGTTGCGCCGGATCGATCCCTGGTGTATGTCCAGGTCCACCTTCAGGCACTGGAAGCTGCGCATGAGGAACACAATGGGCATGGGCAGGACGCCGGCCATGATCATCGACAGGGCGATGCCCATGACCCACCTGGGGTATTCCTTCTGCTCCACCACACCCTGGATTCAAATTGAAAAGCAAGTGTCAGGCAAGCGGCAAAGTTGAGCCTTTAATGAGAGATGAACCCACCAATTCGGCATTCCAAGCTCCGTATGTGGGATTGCGGATTACCATAAAGACGATGGACGAGGCCAGGATGCAGACCATGATTACGGGCCCAATGTAGCGCCATGTAAGCTGCCAGTAGAGGCCGGGTCTGTAGCCAGTCATCTGATAGATGTCCTCAGTGAAGCTGTGGGCAGAGGACTTGTAGGACTTGTCTTGAGGGAATGCTTTCAGGGGTACCTACCGCTCGTGTCCGTAGATAAAGATAACGGCGATCATCTCCATCAGGGCCACCACCACCAGGCCAATGGTGCCGGCAAAAGAATCGAACATCTTGAGCCAGTACTCCCCGGCACCTGTGCAGAAGATGAAACCGACAGTAAAGCAGAATAGACATACCACGCCAGTGACATGCTGTTTCTTAACCCGCTTGATAATGTCTATGTCGAAGAGGGTGCACAGCATGCCCTCCAAGATGCCGATCTGCGAGCCCAGTCCCAGCGACAGCAGCATGGTGAAGAAGAGCACGGCCCAGAAGGGGGCGCCCGGCAGCTCCACAATTGCCTGGGTGAACACGATGAAGGCCAAGCCCGTTCCCTCGGCGGCCTAAAGCAGAGGAGGAAGGAGGAGAACAATGAATTACTGCGGGATGCAGGATACCATATGAGCCATATCCAGGAGAGTACTCACATTGTCCAGCTCCTTGGATAGGGTGCACTCGCTCAGCTGAAAGAGGGTCTTCTCCGTGTCGTTCAGCTTGTCCATCGCATGCTCGTACTCCAGGGTGGTGGCGTTCTTGTTTTCCAGAAACGCATGCCTAACGAGGATGTCCGTGTTGCTGTGGGGGCAGAAGACAAAGACGAAGACCGGTTTAAGTCGGTTAGAGCCCACGGACACGGCCGGACAGTTCAAGAGCAATTGCAAATAACTCAGCGTGGGACCATTAATTGATACAAATTGACAGACACGACCGCGATTCCATATATCGATTCGAATATCAATGAACGGCAGGGCACACAAATACCCAGATGTCCATTGATACGACTATATGTAAATAGGCACGGAGACAAAGCCTCGTGCCAGTTACAACTGGTCAACATTGGATGATGTGATGACCTATCCCAGGTGCCTGTCCACCGATGCGTGCTGACCCCACCCCAGCCATTTGCACTGCTGTACTGCTTTGCTGCTGCTGTACTCAACTCACCTTGCCACACAGCGATCCACGTTCATGGTGGCCTTGAAGCCGAGAATGGCGAAGATGACGACACTCGCGTAGATGGCTGTGACTGCATTGCAGACGGACACCAGCAGGACGTCGCGGACGCAGTTGTTCTTCGGCGTGTTGTAGCTCCCGAAGGCTATTAGCGAGCCGAAGGCGAGGCCAAACGAGTAAAAGACCTGGGTGGCCGCGTCCAGCCACACCGTTGGCTCCAGCAGCTTTTCCACCTTCGGCGTGTACATGTGCATTAGACCAGCGCCAGCGCCGCGCAGGGTTATGCCGCGGATGAAGAATATGGTGAGGACGATGTAGGGGAAGAGCGAGGTGAAGTAGACCACCTTGCCGGAGCTCTGGATGCCCTTCATCACGATGAAGAAGACGATGGTCCAGGAGAGCATCAGGCAGAGCACAATCCACCACTTGAGGCCGCCGGGCTCGTCCATGGACGGGGCGGCGTCCAGGGTGGTGCGGTACCAGAAGTACGTTGTCTCCGACGACTTGGCGCACTCTTCAAGCGCGAATCCAGTGCCGTTCGTCGGACAGGTTGACCAGGGCAGGGGGTACTAGGGGAGTATGGAAGGATGGTAGGATGGAAACACCTTATAAGCAGATCTCTTCGAGATCCCAATCTGTGTGGGAAAACTCACCCGAAAACTGTTGAAGAGGTAGAAGAAGACCCACGTGATGATGACGTTGTAGTACAGGGCCACGAACAGCGTCACAATGCACGACGAGATGCCGATGCCGCCCAGCCACGGATGGATGGTGTTCCACACCCCCAACGCGCCCAGCCGCATGCGCTGCCCCATGCCCAGTTCGATGAGGAAGAGTGGTATCCCCTCCAGTATCAGCATAATCATGAACGGTATCAGGAATGCACCTATGTGTGGTGGAGGGCATGTAAGAACGGGTGAATGTGTGCGGATTAAGTCCAAAGTCCACTTGAGTGACGTGACACGAAATCAATTTGCATTTGCATTTGCTCTTCTGAATCGTGTTCTGCTCGAGGCAGAAGGAATTTATTGTCATGAAGGTACAAATGCATCTGCTCCAACACTTTTTGTACGTCTGGTGCATTCCTGGCTTATATAATTAAATATTAATCTGCTCCGTCACCTGTGGGCCCGCTGGGAGTACTCTGCGATGGCAATTTGGTCATTCTCTCTAGTTTGTAATTGAATTAAAGCCGGGGCGGGGTTGAATTCCCACTAGAAATGTGCGTGCTCGACACGGGGCGTGTGCCCTTCCCCTTTCCCCAGTGGGCCGATGCAAAGCTCCTCCACAAGGCCCCCACAATTGGGTCTTCCGGACCCGCCAGACGCGATGATAAAGCTATGCAATTAGTGCACATTAAATCCCATAATGTTATTGTCAAAGCTGTGCACTTTATTAGCTGCTCATACATACATATATGTATGTAGTTCGTTGGCCACATGATATTGGATATGCCATACAGAGCGGTCGGGAGCGAGAGGGGGAGCAAAGGGAGCGGTGGGGGTACCACCTGCAGTCTGTAGAATTAGCGTTATCGCACAGGTGACGCCAGCAGCAGCAACAAATTGGCAGTGGAGTGGAGTTGGGTTGGGGCTGGTCTTTGGGGTTGGGTGCAGACATTGATTGGAAAAAACTGCAGCGATATGCACTTGTGGCAGTTGCTGACAGTTCGGGTAATCCGAACATGTGCATGGCATTCCATGGACATTCCACGGGTGTGTACTCACCGCCGCCGTTCTGTTGGCACAGGTAGGGAAAGCGCCAGATGTTGCCCAGGCCCACCGAGTAGCCGATGATGCTGAGGAAGAACTGCATCTTGCCACTCCAGGCGGCCCGCTCCGGATCTCCGCCCGGAATGTCCACCGACTGTACCGAGTTGCGCTGCGGGGCGGTCAGGACGATGGTCACGCCGTGGGTCCCATCGCCCCGTGCCCTTGTGTTCAATGGAGCCATCTCGTGGCCGTTGCGCGGTGCATCGATGATTTTGGTGGCAGCCATCAACGCTCGGGTGGTTCAAGTCGCGCCGTGGTTTCTGAAAAATGAAGCAGCCGATTAGGAAAAGGCCAACACAAGGATATGATTCTCCGGCGGGACTCTGTTTGATCAATATTCCTCGGGTGTGAATGTGTGCCAGTGTACGAATGTATATGTAATAAACGATATACATATGTGTGTGTGCGCGCTGGCATTTGCTCTTTTCAGTGGTGGGGCGTCCTTGAGACCTCTTCTAGTGGCTGCTAACTCAATTTGTGTCCTAATTGCTAGCCATTAAGGCGGGTTTTCCTCTGGTTAATGGAAACTTTTCGATGGCACTTGTAATTCGAATTCTCCTTCCCTACCCATTTCTTTTCTCCTATAACTTTGGAAGTTGGCGAATCTACATACTACTTATAGGTGAGTACTCGCTCCTGCATAATTCATAAAGTTTTTCATATTGCTCTGCTGGTTAACCTCTCTCTTAATGAACAAAATTTTTATGCACGCACGGCAGAAAGTTAATAGGAAATTTATCTTTCCACATCCCGCTTAGACGAAGGACACCCGGCCCCTCAATCGTCAAATCGCTGCGCGGATGGAGAGTCACTGAACCACCTCACCCATCTAAGACCTAAGCGCCCAGAAATCGTGACTTCCTGAACCTTGTTGCTCAGTGTGTAGGGCCAAAAAGTGTTGACTCCTACGGAAGGTCGTTGCAAATTGAAAGAGCAATGAGAAAAGCAAGAGGACACGAGACTAGAACACACAAACTCGTACATAAAGTAAATAAAGGGTGGAGGCGGCGGCAGGGCAGCCCTATGTACTATATACTAGGTATGTATGTACATATGTGTGTATATGTTGGCTTATTTACTTGGAGGCTCGTCTCTGCTCTGCTCTGCTGACGTAGTAAAGCCAGAGGACGCAGCAGAGCAAGCGACAAAGAGAGGAAGAGAGGAAGTGAGCTAGAGCCAGCGCCAGAGCCATCTCTCTCTCTCTCTCTCTCTCTCTCTGAGCGGGTGTGTTGTCGCGAAACAACAGCAGCTGTCTGGCAAGAAGCAGAATCGAATCCCACCATAGCTAGAGAGCAATGCCAAAAGAGAGAGAGGAAAGCTCTGGCAAGCTTTTGGCGTCCTGCCGCTTCATTGATAGCTCTGTGTATGCACACATACATATGTACATCTGCACACAAACACAAAGACACAGAGCGCCACTATACGGTCTATATATTCTTTTCCGATTCTTCACTATTTTGCGTATACGTAATGCGCTATGACGTCTTTTGATGGCTGACTTGTTCCACAAATGCGTTAGTGGTATCGAACAGCCTGCCCCCTGGGCACCCGGGCCCACCCCCCTGGATGGGTGAGTGTAAATATTTATTCAATTACTGCACACATTGGCAGGCAGCGCACATAAATGTATCTCGTGGATGCAAAATGCAAAATGCACAAAGCTCAAACACAAAAGTTACACCACAAGCTCGTTAATTCAGAGTAGATGGCAGACCAGGAACAGCACCACGATGGGACCAGCCCCGAGGGTAAAGATAATAAAAGGACTTGGAGCGTGGAGTGCGTTCAATGCCACAAGCTCCCAGCCAGTCCCCTCCATCTCCATCTTCAGACACACTGCAACATTTGTTTGCTTGCGTGCGGTGCGGTGCGGCGCTTTGCTTCCTTCTCTAGCCCGTCGCCTGCTGATTACACAATCCAATTGACGTTACGTAAACCAGTGTGTGGAAATATTAAGCTCCTGTGATTGCTGTTTCTTTTGCGTCGCAATATTCCCACAGCCACCCTGCCGCAACACCAGCCACACGCCCACGCCACTGGCGTTTCTAAATATAAAGCTCAAGCAGGACACGTACACGGACACGGTCACAGAACGACCCTGGCCCTGTCATTGGAACGGTTTAGCCCACTTAGACCTTCCCCTGCACCTCCCATAGAGCAGACTGAAACACAATGCTTAACTCATTGTTAAGGGAAATTGCTAAATGAGGGGCGCACTGCGGCTATGATTGAAAGATTGAAAGCACAATCAGAATAAGTTTGATTGAATTTGACAGGATGTAATTGTGTTGCACTGCTTATACAACTCCACTCCGCCTCGAGTCCCACTGATTCTGGCTTGGCTTTGATACCGATTCAAACCCAAAGAACAATGCCTTGCCAAGCGATGGAAATTTATATGAATGGAAATTTACCAGGCTAACCAATCCATAAACAGACACACACACATCCTAAATATGTGTGTGTATTAGATGTGTACGTAAACAGGTATAAAAGCCTGCGCTCCTGAACAAAACACCGCCAAAAAGGACAAACGTAATTGCGTCGTTCCAAAAGTGATATTCAACAACAACAAAAAACAAGTTCATCCCCTTTCCTACCCGGTGTTGGGGGTAGGAGCAGCAGGCGCAACAGCAGCAGGGGATGGCTTTAAAGCTTATTCCCGGTTAAAGTGCCACCGAAATAGCTAAAAAAGAGACAATCGGAGGGAGGGGCGGGGCGGAGCGGAGCGGGAGAGCGCGGATTAAGGGGCACAAATCTGATGACATGGCGTGTTCCAGGCCAAATCGATTGGAACAATTTTCGGTTCAAGTAGGAGAGGCGACCGGCGACCAGCGCCCAGCTGTTTTTTTCTATTCTGCATAAATCATGCAATTTGATTGCCAATGAAATATTTTTTGTTTATGCAATCGATTTTGTACATTTTATTGGCTTTTGTTCGCGTACACAATAATAAACCCTGTGCGCACCGCACAGAGGTTTGTTCACGATGAGCATTTCAAAATTCCAACTAATAATACCATATTTGCGGCTATTTTGGGATCCGATCTGCTCAGAGTGCAGATGCAGCGAGAGCAGAGAGTGGGGAAGATTGCGCAAGTTGTTCGGCTGCCAATATGCAATGTGCGCCCTTTGCTCTCGCCCTTCTTACCCTCCTTGGGGGCGCCCCTTCAACAATGCAAAGTAAATATTTTAGCCAGTCGACGGCGAGATGTGGCCGAAAAATCTTTGAACGCCCCAACCCCCATACAGGAACGAGCTACCCGCTTCCCAGAGATACAATGAGAGAGAGAGAGAGAGAGGTAGAGAGAGTTTGACCTTGAAGTGGGCTTTTGTTGCAATTGTGTGGGTGGGTAGTCGCTGTCCGGATTTCCTGGAGCGGCACTGGACGCATTAAGCTACCCAGATCCAAGCCCAACACTCCCTCCATCCCTTTTGAAATCCAACTCCACTTAGGATTGTGTACCCCAGCCCCGCACCGATTCGGATTGTTTACGCGTTCTTAAGCTTGGGACGCTTTCGATAGAAGGAGTTGTTTTTACAATGATATTATGCAAATAAACGCAGCAGATGTCTGACGGACGGAAAGTTTTTTAAGCTGAAACTCAATATGAACCGTCAGCAAACCAAACAGCGTATATAAATAAGCTATATTGTAGCCTGATGAGTCCTTCATGTCTTTGGTTCTTGTTCTACATAATTTTGTATTATCATAAGATGAAGAAGGAAACATAACCAGGAACTATCTTAACATTGTTCTCTCTTCTCGCAAGTACAAATATCTTGGTGAAACATTGCCTTTTTCAATCAATAAATAGCCAAAACAAAACAAAGAGAAAACAATTAATTTTTCAGGAGCATGCAGCCAGCGGACACATGCACTTGCCAGCCAAAATAACTTATATGCCAGTGCCTTATATACTTCGACAATGTATGTACGCGTACATATGTACCTACAACTTTCGCTCTCACTCTAGCTCGCATGGAGGCGGGATTGCAGTCAGACAGGCACAAAGTTCAATTTCTTGCTTTTTGGCACAGCATCAACTGTTGGCCTGTTGAGGATGAGAGGTACATAAATAGGTGGGGAGGGGAGGTCTGAGCTTTTTGGCTAAAACAACCCCTCAGCCAATGCCATTGCCAGCCTCAATGCAATTTCACTTTGCCACATGGAGCCAAAGGTAGCAGAAGGTTTAGCGGGTGAGTGGGTGAGTGGGTGAGAGGATGAGTGGTTGAGAGAGAGAAGCAGATAGACAAAGAGAGACAGAGTGGCGGGAGCCTGAGGTAAGATCTACGGAAATTGGTTTGTAAATTTATAAATTGATGCTCATATCTCATAGAGAATCAATTTCAAATTTTGCTTCCGTTCGCTGGCTCGCCCCATGATTAATCACTTGATGCTGACATCTTGCCAAAATCTAGTTCTATTTCTTCTAATTGTGCATCATACCGATTTGTTCTTCTCGGGCACATGGATCGAAAATGTTGCTTCCTGCCTTTTACCAACGTGCAAAGTCGTACGAGTATATATTTGTTACAATCGCATTGGGTCTGATGAATTTTCGCATTTCCTTGGTTTTATTGGAATGCGAATACGAATGCGAATGCACAGAAATGCAGATTTTCGTTGGCGTGAAGGGCACGAAACAATTGAATTCGTTGCTGAAAGCAATTTGCATAAACTGTTGTCACTGGAAATTCCACGTGCCTCACAAATACGAGCGCCGCTCATTATGTACAAGTTCTCGGAAGGAGACTGCCACTGGGGCTGGGACTGGGACTGGGACTGAGAGAGAGAGAGATAGGGAAACAAGTTTACGCTGTGTGTGTGAGTGCGCAGGACACGTCAGGACGGGCAGAATGTGCTGCTGTCCAACGTGCTAGCGTACCAACGTACCAAAGTTTGACTTGGCTTAGCTTCGGGATCCTTGCTGGCTGGCTGCTGTTAAGGGCGGATTTTTCACACACAAACAGGCACACACACGCGCATAAACACAATGGCACAAATGTCCCTTCCAGACAACGTTTTTGGCAACTTGGAAAACCTTTGTGTGGCCGTGAATCCAAAATGCACTCTGCAATTCTCTAATACTTTGCTTTAGATCAAATGCACTCTAATAACCATGGACACACACGCACAAATCAATTTCGTTCGAGGAATTTTAGCGTTTTCACACGGTGCTTTGCCCAATTTTCACGACACGACCGTTGATTTGAGCTTTCTGTTACAAAGTGAAACGAAACGCTTGGCGCCGTGATAGCACTGCCAGCCAGAAGCTCTCGAGCGACGTTGCCGTGGTGAAAAGCCGAGCGAGAATCCACCACCACCAGAACCGAGAGACGGGCACGGGCGCTAACGCAGGACGACGGGCCACAGGATGAACGTACGGAGTGCATGGAAATTTTTCACATGCGGATAGAGTTCCTCTGTTTAATTTGGGCAAAGCTTCACTTTCATTGATTGCTGCCAGTACGTGTGTTTGTGTGCGTGAAAGGAGGCCAAAAGCTAAGGGAAGCACGTGGCACTCACTCCATCAGGGGGTTGAAAGCTGCCAAAATGCCGCTGCTCGGCTTTGGGGGTAGTTTGGAGGAACTGCCGTAGAGAGCAAGAGAGAATAAAAGAAAAAAGAGCACTATAACTCGAGAGCTGTAAAATACATTCATTAAATTGTTCAAAGAATTGAATACTTGAATGTATTCCGAATTTTACTTTAAAGTGCCGCCAAACCATAAATTATTTTCCATTGCATCCTTTTCAGCGCGAGCTGATATCGATATCGCGCTATCGAAGGGCGTTGCACTATGGATGCGATGGTAAATTTACGGTATATCGGTATATAATAGTATATTTCGTCAATTTAATCAATCTATTAAATTTAATTTTCAACGTTAAGTAGAAATCCAATAAATGCGATTGTCTAGAATATGCCAGTCAAGTAGAAAATAGGTTCATTAATCGGATAAAATTATGTGGGCATGGTTTAATGTTCTACATAGCTATTTATATTCGACGGAATATCAAAATTGAGGGAATCGTCGTATTTGTTGAATCGGTAATGGCCCGGTTGACAACATTTAAATCCTTGTCGCTCACATTCAAAAAAGTTCGATTTGGCGCGCACCACTCGGTATATTTTTCAAGTGAGACCGTATATACTGTAGAAACTGGTTTTCGCCGCGCTCCCATGTGGTGTTTTTTAGTGCTAAATTGCATTTTTGTCATTTATTAATTTAATTTTCAATGTTATATAAAAATCCAATAAATGCAAGTATTTCGAATAGGCCGATTATGTATAGAATTGATTCATCAAACGTATAAAATTGAGTGGGCATGGCTAAATGTTCCATATAGATAGTATTATTAAACGGAACAAAGAATATGAGAAAATTTGAATTCGCCGCAATTCGCCCCAGTTCGCCCCAGTTCGCTTTAGCAACAATGAGTCTCATTCCATACACAAATGTTGCGCATTCCATACACAAAAGTTGCGGCAACATTTACTTGAAAACCGTTTTTTGGTCAAAATAAAATACATTAAGATAATTAAAAGAAGCAATCTTGTAGAAAATGCATTTATCTATGGGATAAAGCTAAGTGGGCATCTATAGCTTGAAATATAGGCAATACCCGATTCGCCGCAGTTTCGCTATTGCAACAATGAGTCTCATTCCATACACAAACATGTTGCTAATTCCATGCACACATACCCTGGGGGAAATGGATGATATAGAATTGTGAATACGTTTGTCTTCCAAGGCTCAGTAGGTATCAGGATCGAGATAAATATATACAAGATACTAATAATACACATGAATAAGTCAAAAACATATCAATTTGAGAAAATTTCTTGTTAAATCACGTTTCATCTTCATATAAAATTAACAAAATAGGGTGCACAAAGGCCTATACACGCATCATGTCTTCAAATACCAGCAACATTGCGACTGTTTTTTTTTGTTGAACTATTTTGTTTAAACCTTGTTTTATTCAAAATACAATAAAAGCAAGGATTAAAATCTATCCAATCTTGTAGAAAATTGATTCATTAATAGTATAAAATTATGTGGGCATGACTAAATGTTCTATATAGTTAGTAATATTCGATGGAATATCAAAAACGAGGAATATGTAAACAAGAACTTGAATTCGTCAGTATATTTACGGTATATTTTGAAAATTAGACGGTATATTTTGGTATATTTCTGAGGGTCGGACTTTCAAATAGAAATCCGCGGTCACACTTTTTCAGGTGTCCCAAATCGATTTTTTAAAACTCAAAAAATAATCAAAATCAGCAAAATCCGAATAACATGGACGCGTAAGTGAATGAGAAATGATTGGAGAGCGGCTTTCCTTTAACGGAGAATGATTTCCCACAGATTACAAGACGAGGTGGAGTCGCTGGAAGCAATTCTAATGGACGATGTTTGTATCAAGCGCACTGTCAGGTAGGTTATCTGAAAAACAAATCTTTATGCTACTAAACACGGAAATTACCGTCCCTCAAAAGCGGCGACGTGGACCTAATCGAGACAACGGTTCTTCCGCTGACTGGGGAGGACGACGAACAGCAGTACATATGTGTCACACTGCAGGTGCAGCCGACGCCGGGTTACCCAGACGTCAGTCCCACATTCAAACTGCTTCGTCCCCGAGGACTTGACGACGCTCGCCTGGAGGCCATACGAACCGCTTGCAATGTGAAGATTAAGGAGTCGCTGGGCTTTCCCGTGGTCTTCGACCTGATTGAGGTGGTGAGGGAGCATCTGACCGGCAGCAACCTGCCCAGCGGACAGTGCGTGGTCTGTCTGTACGGATTCGCCGAGGGCGACGAGTTCACTCGAACCGAGTGCTTCCATTACCTGCACAGCTACTGCCTAGCCAGGCACTTGAATGCGTTACGGCGCAACTACCAGGAGGAGTTTGAAAAGCTGCCCGCCTGGCTGCAGAAGACGGCTGATCCCTTCCAGGCCCTGTGTCCCGTTTGTCGTGAACACATCAGTGATGAGTCGGACAGCTTAAAATGCGCCATGCCTCCCTCAGAGCTTATCAATGCTCCCGACTTCAAAGTGACCCAAGAGCTTAGGGAAATGCAGCAGCGCATGTCCCAGTTGTATCTGCAGCAAAAAAGTCGCGGAGCCATCATTGATGTAAAGGCCGACAGTGCTGCTGTAATTTCCATTGAGACCGAGGAAGATGTACGACGACGTCGGCGTCGTGAAGAGGCGGAGGCCGCTAAGAAATTGGAGGGACCAGCCAAGGACGAAGCCCTTAAACCCACAAGCAGCAGCAACTTTGCTCCAGTTGTGCAGGAGACACATCGTGTCATGCCAGAGCCGACTAATAACAACTATCAGCATCACAATCGTCGACACTATCGTGGCAACAGGCGCCATCAGCACCACGGACACCACCATCGCGCGGACCGCGATCGCGAGCCCAACCCTGGCTCAGCTGGAGGCAGTTCAGGCGGAAGCAATGCAGCAACTACAGGAACAGGAAAGCAGACGAAGTCTCAGTCTGCCTGCGCTGGGCCTACCAGGTGACAATGGCTCCCAGGACAGATGCGGCTCCGGATACCCATTGCGTTGCCATGCTGCTAATACACAATCCAGCACCATCCCAGACAGAACAGACTTTTAGTTTCGTGAGGCGCACTCGTTTCTGTGAATTTTATGTTTGTATTTATGTTTAGTTAGCTTTAGCGAACCGGGTTAGCTAATTTTCTATTAACATTGATATTTAGTTGTATATTAACTATAATGATATTTGTAATGGTTTGCAAAAGACTTGCGGCACCGCACCATGCCGAGACGATATTACGATTATGATTATAATTATTAGGATGAGGATGACTAGGTTTGATAGCTAGAGAGTAAAGCAAGCAAGCATGTATTTAGCAGCACCAACTGGCAGCGCTGGCGTTGACGTAACCACTCCAATCGATACACACGAGAGACACAATGGCCAAGAAGACAATGATATTGATATTCCTATACGCATAATTGCAGCTCTCAATCTTTAGCAGAAATATTTATCTCCCCCTATCTAGCAGCAGCTAGTACCACAAATAAAACCCAAACTAACGAATACTTGAAGTTGGAACGACCCCCCATCTAGTCAGTCAGTTAAAGGAAGCAAAGAAAGGTAGATGAGGCCCGAGACAGAGGCAGGGCATTATCATTAGCATACGTGCACACATTAAATGTTGTAATTAATTGAGTGTTTGTGTAGAAAAAAAGACCTGTACCGACATCCGTAAGGATCGACCAGGGTTATACATTCATACTCGTGTATCGAAAATTCAATTTCAATGTGTCAAATAAATACTACGATTGGGAACCATAACGAATAAATCAACTACCAAAATCATGGAATAAGCAGCTGTGTTTTACTGTGGGGGAAACAGAAATAGAATAGAACACACTATTTTTTTATGTTATAGTTTTTTGTAAATTTTATTTCTCATTTAAATTGTTTTAATTTAATAGAATTACAAAAAACGTGTTTAATGCATTTTCTTTCGATTCGTACAACAAAATAATTTAGTATTAGTATTTTACAATATTTATATAAAGGGAGGGACACGCTCCAAAATTTCTCCCACTTGCATCATAATTTTTTCGTTGCGTTGTAGTTGCATATATAAAAAACAAAATAATTATGCAATACAAATTCTGTGTGTGTGTGTGTGTAGTATGTGTGTGTTTCTCACTTAACAGTTAAATATTAATTAAACTTAAAGTAATGACTTTTAGTATATAATTAAATATTTTCTTTATGCGGCTTACATTTTTCACAATCTTATTAGTTTAATAACAGAACAAAATCAAATTTTTTCTTTTCTCTTGAATGCGTTTTAGTTATTTTTTTGGCCGTGCCACCTCTGCCACGCCCCTTTCTGTCTAGTGGACCATCAAACTGGCGATTTCGATGGTGACACATGGGCACAGAGAGCTTTGCAACAGAGGCCCGGACATTTCATTCGAATGTTTTTAATTTTTTTCTAAATATTTTTCGATATCTTTTTTGTTTTTTTTTTTAATTATTGTGTTTTTGTATACTTTTACTTGCCTTGGAGCACTTGGAGTGTATTTTTCATTAATTTACGCTTGTTTTATCATCGTTTCGTTTATAAGTATATACAAATTATAATTTTAGAAACATGTATAACTAGTGAATGGGGGCAAAGGACATTACAAATTAGTAGTAGCAAAAGGTAGTGTAGTATTATTATTAGTAGTACTCGTAAGTAGGTTGCTTCTCTGATCAACTTTGTGTGCTAGCTATATGTCTGCGCTCATCTCATCTACATATGTATGTGTCTTTTACAAAATATATACTATACTCGTGAGTGGCATAAACGTCTATAAATTGTCTCGCTCATCCACTCCTTTGGGGCACTTTAAAGTTAGTCTCAACAGAACTCTGTGCTGTGTGTGTTCCTGCTACATTCATTGCTAATGTAGTCTCTCTCACGATTATTGGGGAGTTCATTAGGGGTTTAGTTTAGAACATCAGTGCGTAGTTAGTACATAAGTTTGTTTGTGGTGTGTATGGTTTAAATATTGGCATTCATCGTTCTAATATTTTCTCATTTCTCCATTCTATAGCCGGAACGGTTCGCGCTTCTCCGTCGGTGTTGTACCGCGCGCTGTGCGATGCATGGTCGAGCTGAATGTCGGCTCCGCCGAACTCTTGCGCGGAGTCTGCATACCCGACGGGGTCGTGCTTCCGCTGATGTTCCGCCTAAGGGTAGGGGATTGTAAAGAAAATCGGTTAGTCAATGGTTCTCAAATTATTTCCAATTCATATAACAATAACAGAAACATAAGTAGTATAACGGTAGACTAGAAAATAAAACTTAAGCATTAGTTGAAAGCTTCTGTTGCTTGTTTGGCATGCGCAGGAACATGCTCGGGAAAGGTTCAACAATGAAGGTACAAATAACTTAACAATAACATCATATCGATAATAATAGTAATTACTTGCTATAGATAGAGTTGAAAATTGGCTAGTAAATGTCTCTTTTGAGTGCTTATCAATATTACCCCAAGCTGGTTGGATTCGTATTCGTAGTCGAGTTGGTGGGCGATGTTGACTTGGAATCGAATGAGGGTATCTTAATCGGTATCCGTGATGGGCGGCTTTAGTTGTGGGGATGGTAAGTACAACAATACGAGTAGTTAGCATATAAGAAACCATAACCACTGATCATCCTGCGCTATATCATGTGATGCCTTATGACTAGCCTAAGCTTATGAATTTGTAATTATGTTAAGTGTTGTCTGGAGAGCGGTATTACCTAATTGGTTTGAAGCCGAAGCCTGTTAGTGCTGGTATACTGGATGATCTACTCATGCCTCCGTTGCTGTTTCAGTATATATTGTTTTTTGTTGTTGTTTTTTTTTATAGGATTTTCAGGCATAGGAGTTTTTTTTGTGTTTGTTTTAGTTGCGTTCAAGCAAATTTCAAATGTTTCAAAATGCCAATTGGAGTTGTTTGTTAGCGTATCATGATGGTTGGTTGTTTGTTTGTGTGAGTTGTGTTGGTCAAAAGTTAATGCGGTAAACCGAAAACAATGTGGAAAATAAAAGGTTTAAATTAATAAGAGTTGTTTCATTTTGTGTCCCGCTTTCCCCAATGTTCCCCATTCGGAAAGGTGCCATGGCCAAGCAACTGTCACCAAAATCCTACCTTGTGGGTGCTGGACTGGCCGAGCCGGAGGCGGTTTTGCGGGTGATGGTGCTAGAGCCGTTCAGGCGACTGCCTGGCGTGGTGGTGGTCACTGAGAGTCGCGCTGGGCGTGGCGTAGTGCCGCTGGCGGTGCTTGCTGTTGACGGTTTCCGTTGCGGAATGCGTGACGGCGTGTGATCGTCTACGGGAATGAAAAGAGGTATAAATTGTGCTTGGTCGTTTAAAGATCCGAATCCGCATCTGTAGCTTACCCGTGCTATCCAGCGACAGCGTGGAGCCATGTCGCGACGGTGGCTTCGATCCTTGTCTGCTGAGCGGGCGTGAGTTGGGCTTGGAGCCGGCACGAGAGCCTCCTGGCGTGAGGCCTGTGCGTGTGCTCGTGTAGGTGACCTTGCGCGGCGTGTACCGGCCCGAGGGTCCACCGTGGCTGCCCTCGTTGTCGCTCAGAGAGTCGGGAGTGCTGGCCGAAAGTGACGAGCGCGATGGCCGCGACATGGGAATCGAGCGAACCGATCGCTCGCGGACCTGTGTGGAAGAGAGCTAACGATTAGATGTGATCTTTTGAACGATCCCCCCTCTAGACCCGCTGAAAATGGAACCGATTTAATTTTGATTCTCCTCCTTCTGTGGCTTCTCCGGCTCATCCTTCTCTCACTCCGCCGCCAATCATTGGACAATGGACTTACCCAGTGTGTTGTTGGATGACAATGCAGCACATGTGGACTCAGCGGGACCGAGCGGCTGGTATTGCATCGGACGAATACCGTGCCGCCGGCACCCATGTGTATGGGAAAGGCGCATGGAACTTGGTCTTGTGCACGGATTTTCTCAAAGATTGGCATTAATTCGGCCAAGTGCTCATCAGCTACATATATAGAAATCAATTTTGGATACGTTTAGCCAACATTGGACAGCAAAAGGCAGCTGGCAAACGGCATATGATCATTTAAGCCATGGACAACAACCTAACAACCTAGCGCCTAACAACCTCAATAGCCTCGTGGCCTCATAGCCTCAGGTGCGTAAACGGGGTGTACTGTACTCTAGCATAAACTCAAAAGGTCGCAAAAACTTAACATTTAATCGAGTACAAAAATGAATAGAGAGGCAACAACAATATATATGTACGTACAAGTAAAATTATACAGATCGATATGAACGAGTATGTTCTCATGCAGATATACAACAAATCAAGAGTCGGCGGCGCAGCAGCTTTGGCGAGAGCTTTGTCAACAACACACACAACGAACGAGCCCAGAACGAAAGGCTTAGGATCTTACCTCGTGCCCTTAAAGGATGTATGGATGGATGGATAGAGAAGGTGGGTGGGTGGACAGGATTTGAATATCGGTTTCACTCTCCTGGTACTTGTTACTCGTTACTCGTTACACGTTACTCGTTACCCGTTTAACGCTTCAGTTTTTGATTTACCTTGATGATGGGACCCTGTCCACTCATATATGGCGGCAAGTTGGAGCTGCCGCCATTGTGGGCATGGGGTGAGGAGGTGGCAGTGGCGGCTGCATTGGGCGTGGATCGTCTGGGCGTGAATGCGGCCATGCTCTGCGAGACGCCATCGGCCAATATGAATTGTTCGCGCAGCTCAATGTTAGTGCGTCCCTTGGCTGCTCCGAGTCGGTAACAGTGTGGCGGTTGGCGGTAGCGGTTGAGGATGCGATTGCGATTGCGGTTGCGATGCGAATGGCGCGGTTTTTTATATATATGTGCAGGTATGACCGTTAGCACACACACGCACATATATAGACACCACACACACACACAACACAAACACATACACACATACACGATAGAGGCGCACGAGTATGTTTTCGGGCAATGTTTGTTGTAGGGCGAACATATAAACAACAACAATAACAACGAAATATCGTTACCGCAAAGTAGTATTGTCACATATTTTCAGTGTTTTTGGTATTTTTTGTGGGCACAGGCGGGTGCATCGGGCGTGGGCGTGGTCGTGGGCGTGGGCGGCGCAAGCGAAGAGTATACATATTTATCGGGATCATTTATTCAATATTCAATCATTTTTCGGTATTTCGGTTAAATAAATAACGGAAAAGTACCATTTGGAAAAAAAGAAAAAGGGGGAAACATAAAATTGTATTAGTAAAAAACGAAACAAAAACAAATACACAAATTCAATTGTTAACTAATTTGGCAAATAGAAGTAGCAGACGAGACGCACAACGAAATCTGGTGAGGCTTCAAACATAAAATGCGTGACATGAACGTACAGCCTAGAGCCTACGGTACGCCGGTGCTGTTAGTTAACAGCATGCGCGACTGTAGCCGATAAGCAGAATGTTAGTTGGAAAGCGAGGATAGTAGATTAACAAAATGAAAAGCATGCATTAAAATAGATTTCTTTAGGTGTAGTACATATAATAGTTATTTCGGCTATCACTAGGCGTTGCTGGAGATACCCGGTTCATAGCACTATCTAAGAGATACAGTTGAAAGGTTGGCTGGTTATGGGTGGGAGTGGGAGTGTGAGTTGTATGGGCAGATACATATATCAATTGTTACGCAGTTAAGAATCGAAGCGACATAAATGAGCATGATTACAGTAAATGGCGAAACCCTAGGCTAGGCTGGGCTTTGGATTTAATTGGGATTTTGTTTTTTGGTTGCTGATTTCGTTTGGTTATTGTGTATGAGGCGGCAT